AATTTCTCTTAAATTTTTTATGTTGCTATTCTTGTAAATTTGTGCAGTGTGACACTAGAATGCCCTGTCCCTACTGAATACCAGGCAGGAAAACATGTCAGGCATCACCAGTTTGAAGCAACTATTAAAATATACATCTTGGAAATTCCTAACTTAATCTATCATGTTGCAAAAATCATTGTCATAGAGATAATTCACTGCTGTTTTTCTTTTAAATATTTCCTTATTTCTTATATTTCTTATACTTTAATTAAAACATTCTTCTCCATATTTCCCCACTTTCAACTTTTAAAAATTTGATCTCATTTGGGTTTTTTCCTGTTTGTGATGCTGTGTTTTATCATCACATGTTCTTTCTTTTGCTCAAGGCTTGGCTTTGTATGTGCCAAGATTCATGGTTGCCTTCCTCAATTTCGACTAACCCTTCCAGTTTGTGGGTGAAACTTGGGTGCCATTAGAGTGATATATTTTCATTGTGTCTCTCCTAAACTTGTCCTCCCTAGGAGGCCATTATTTCCTATGCTTTATCTTCAGCTTTACCTTCTGCTTTTCTTAGATTTCTAGTGTAAACAGTGTCTCTAAGTGTGTATTGGTAGCTTTAAAGAGGTTAATTAGCATATTTTCCTCTTATCTCAGTGCTTGTGTTAACTTGTTGCTTTTTTATGAGTAACAAAATGTTTATCTGACAGATTTTTTTTTTCTTTTCCCTATTAGTAGATTCTGAAAAATAATTCTTGCAACATTTTTGTTTTTGTTTAATGATTAACTGCCTTCAGGGACTGAGACGTTAGTGCTCAAACCTAAGCCATAAACACTGCATCTCTCTCTATTTTGGATGAGATTGTACTGGTCTTCATTTTTATAGGAATTGCATTTAATAGAGTATCTAAATAAGAGGATCATACTCATGTGCTTAATGACCATTTATCCAACTGGGTAACTTCGCCTAGATTGCAGAAGTATTTATTGCAAGAGCAGATGCACAGTATTTACCCACCCAAACTTTCTTGTCTTTCGCAGGTGTGAAATTAGTTTAAGAATGGTGGCATCTTTCCCTTATTAATAACAAGTCAGCTCTCTTTTATTAAGTGACCCCAATTCTGTTGAACTCGGCCACCGTGGACCACGTACTTCTTCCTCCAACGTGTTCTGTGGCTCAGAAGCGAGGGAGTTTTGAACCTCCCCCTGACTCGGAGAGAAAGCTCTCGCTCCCGTGGCTCTAACGTGGGCTCTGGCAATACTTTAGGACTCACCCTCTTTGAGGATACAGATTCGCGAGAGCGTTTCAAGGCTGCGGGCCTCGGTTCCCCGGCGAACCCCGCCGCCCCGCCGCGCGCCCCGGGGGAGC